TTCTGACCTTCTAATGGCATTGTCGCATTCGTTATACCATTCGGAAACATTTCCATTCATAGCATCCAAAACTGTTGGCGTTATATTCTGAGCGGCGTACATTTCATATGGGTAAAAATATAGAATAGTTGGATTTATATGTCATAATAGAACCCACGTGGACCAAGCTTTACTTTCTTCCTGACTGAGTTTTTAACTCTTCTTTTTCCTTCATTGCCACTACTTTCACTAGATGAAGTTACTTCTTCACTACTTTCACTTTGTTCTACTCTTCTCTTCTTCTTTGGTAACTTGCCCTCTGCTTCAAGTTGTTGCATCTTTGCCTCATGTTCACCTAGTATGTTGTAAATTTCCCATGTCCTTTTTGCCTTTGGGCTCTGGTCGCCCATCTCAGGTAACCTATATCCTAGAAAGAGTTTGTCATAGTTTGTATTTGAGTCTTCGCGTATTGTTTGCATGACTCTTTCCTGAGTTTCCGGTTCAAGCTCTTCAAATAGAGCCTGTCCATATGGAATAAGCTCGTTTCCAAATATATGTTTTTGTAGCCATTCTGGTTTTCTTTCCATGTTACCAACTATATCTTTTGTGAATGGGAAAGCTTTTACCCAATCTTTCAGTCTTGCGTCGTTTATTTCTGTAGTTGGTTTTATTTTGTCAAGGAACATGTTTTTCAATACTAACATTTCATTTGGTACTGTCCATTTGAGTTTTCTTAAATATTCATCCCTTCTCATTTCATTGTCTGCAAAGTAAGTTTTTATGACATTTTGTAAACTTTCGTTTGCAAGGTCATGTACAATAGGTTCTCTTCCTTCTGTCTCCCTAACTTTCTTTCTAAACTCTTCACCAAATATACCATCTCTATGGTTCTGTGTAGTTCTTTGAGATAAATGTTTTAGAACGTCAGGTGTTATATTTCCATCAGCCATGTTCATTTCATACTGGTCCAAAATATCTGCATGTTTCATATCTTTCAATGGCATTAAAGCCGCGCTGAAAATACCAGCTATATCTGGTTCACCATTGACTTCCATTGCGTCTACAACTTCTTGGAATTGTGGTTGTAAGTTTATGAACCACCTATCCGGGTTAGCTTTATGACCCCATCTCATTGTAGTTCCATCGTCTGCAGAAACAAAAGTAGGTTTGTTTCCATCTTGGTTAGGTTCTGAATGAACTTTAAACAATGTTTCATTTCTATATGTTTTCTTGAAATTTAACCTTTTATTTTCACCGAGTTCATCCGAAGATTGAACGTTAAATGCTCGTAAGTAAAAAGGGTTGTTGTATTTGTGTACATTTTCTTTCAGTACTTCCATTCTATGCTGAATATTTTCATCTGGTGTTGGAGTCTTTTGTATGTCGGCAAACATTTTTCGATATTCTTCTACTATGTCAGCCGAATTTTTTTTAGACTCTTGGAAATATTCCATATTCTCCGCATACTCTTGTTGAGGGTCAAGATTTTTCGGCTGTTCCAAATCTTCATCTAGTTCTGTGAAGTTAGTTTCCAAAGGAGTGACTTGTTCGTTTCCTTCAGGCTCTTCTAGCTGTTGTTGCTGAACTATTTCTTCCATGTCTGGTTGTATCTGAACTAGTTCTTCCTGTGGAGTTTCTTGTACCTCATCTGCTGGCATTTCATATATTCCGAGACCGTTTTCAACAATTTCCCTATCTACGTCATCCGCATTCATAAGCTTTTGTTCTTTCGTTCCGTCTCTATTTTTTACGCGTTTCATGACGAAAGTTGAATTGTCATTTAGCTCTGACATCAAATATCTCGGAGTAAATTCATCCATGTCATTTGGATGATATGCTATTAAATCATATCCCTTAGCGAGCTTGTATTTTCCAGGTTTGAGATTATATCCGTTTTGGTGCTGAGCCATAAAGCTAAATAGGTCCGGGTCAGTATTTCCATCCTTGAACTTTCTAATAGCTTCTTTATATCTGTCACTAAAGTCAATACTATCTGGGAAACCACACTCTTCTTTAAGCATTTTTAAGAATTCTTGGTTTCCTTGTTCTCTACTTCTTTTATGTCCTTGCTCTGTTTGTGGTTGTTGTTGTGCAGGGTTTTGAACTGTTGGTTGCTGTGCTGGTTGTTGTGTTGGTTGCTGTGCTGGTTGTTGTGTTGGTTGTTGTGTTGGTTGTTGTGTTGGTTGTTGTGTTGGTTGTTGTGTTGGTTTTGGTTGTTGTTGTGGTGCATGCCTGTGTCTATGTCCATGTGACGATGTAAATGTGTTAGGTAGTCCTGGTGCAGGTGCTTCTCTTGGAGGGTTTGGTGGTATATAAGTTCCACCAGCTGGCACATATGTTCCATCTGCAGCGTAATGTCCTACCTGACTTTTCGTTTTTAAGAAAGCATTTACTAGGTCTGTTTTGGTCTGTTGTAACTCTTTTTCTTGACTTTTCACAACAGTTGCTCTAACGGCGTCATAGGCACTTTGAACTGCCTGTCTCGTTGCTGCATCTGTTATTTTCGTCATATTTTGTGCTACTTCTCTTAACTCTTTGTCGAAACCTTCAGACTTCAGTTTCTTTCCAGATGAGAAGTCGTTCACTTGTTTCACCTTACTATGAAGAGCTTCGAAGGCGTTCTTAAAGTCAGCATTTGTTAAAGCTTCATTTGAACTGTCTTCATCCGCTTGTATTTTTGTCCTTATTGACCCTATAAGCTGGGCTGCTTTAGCGTTGGCTTGGGCATCTAACCAGTCATTGTTAGCTTTTATATATTCTGCGCTTTTCATTGCCTTTTGCATGGCTGCGTCGTTATTTTTACTTTCTTGTGCTAAGTTTTCATACTGTACGGTTTGGTTTTGCAACTGTAAAAGTTTTTCTGCCTTTACATTTGCTTCAACTTCTTTTTTATACTCATCGCTATCCATATATGTCTTCAGGGCTTTTTGTTTTATCTCTTCATCTTTCAGTATTTTATATTGAGTAGTATGGTTTTTCAAATTTATGACATCTTGTTCCATTTTTGCTACTTCTGCTGCTTTTTCTGACACTTTTTTCGCATATTCCTCTGTACTTAGTTCTTTCAGTTGTTCTTCTTTCTTCTTTTTCTCTACGTTTAACTCATTGAGTTTCTTTGTGTGTCTGTCATATTCTAGTTTCTTTTCGTTTTCACTTATTTGTTTCTGTATGTCTATGTTTGACTTTTTGACATCTGTTATTTGATTTTTGAGTGAACTCAAATTCATTTGACTTTGAGGGTTATAGGCTGTTCCGTCTGCAGCTCCACCATAGCCTGCCATTTTCGCTAAAAGTGCCGCTCTTAAACCTCCACTCTGTGCACCAATAACTCGGTTTAAAAGCATAGGGTTGCTTGACATTTGTTGCAACATAGTGGGGTCATTCATAATTTGTTGTTGCAACTGTTGTTGTGGTGTCAGTTTTACTATTGGATGTTTCAATGCTCCCTTCCTCTTACGTATATTCTTACGTAGCTTACGTGGCATTTTAAGTGAAGTTAAAAACATTTACGATGAAGAAGTTTCGACAAAGCATTTACGAAGAAATCATGAAAATTCAAGAGGTGAGAAAACAGGTGAGAAAACGGGTGACATCTCACCTCTTCACCTAAATTATATTTTTGGGTCATTTACGCTCATTACGATGAAATCATGACAAAACATTTACGATGAAGAAGTCTTGACAAAACATTTACGAAGAAGTCTTGACAAAACATTTACGAAGAAATCTTGACAAATTCAAGAGGGTAGAAAAGAGGTTAGAAAAGAGGTTATATCTAACCTTCTACCCTAAACATTATTTTTGTCTGATTTTACGAAGAAGTCTTGACAAAACATTTACGAAGAAGTCTTGACAAAACATTTACGAAGAAGTCTTGACAAAACATTTACGAAGAAGTCTTGACAAAACATTTACGAAGAAGTCTTGACAAAACATTTACGAAGAAGTCTTGACAAAACATGAAAACATATATAATTTGTGAAAAGCTCCTGGAAGACCTCCGAATAAAAACTTCATTTATGTGGGCTAGAAGGCACGAAGTGCCTGGAAGGTCACCCCAAGAAAAAAAAAACTTCATTATACTCATTCATCCTCAGGGCTAGAAGGCACGAAGTGCCTGGAAGCCCCACTACCTTTTTTTAACTCAATTAAATACTAATCACCAGGATTAAAATAAAATAGTTCCGATAAACCCATAATCATTTTTGAATTGAATTTGAATTAATTTAGAATGGATTTATTATATACATTCGAATTAACGAGGTGGCATTTTTAAGAAAATTGAAATACATTCAATTTTTCTCTGGAAACTAAAATCACTATTTAAGGCTAAATCTAAATACTATGTATTAGTAATGCCTAAATAAATGGGCAAAATCGCAAAACTCGCAATTTGACACAATTGTTGATTTTTCTTGTTCTTCATTGATACAATAACATAATATTACATTATGCGTTGATTCGAACCATCATTAAATTTCTCGAATTTGATGATGTTTTGACCTGGCATTAATTTCGCAATGAGAGATTATCTCCTCAAATGCATATCATCCAATTTTAAAAATAAATGTCCTAGCATTTACATCTGTATTTCCATAATTAATCGTTCAGTTAAAAATTTTTAATTTTGAAACATGCAATACATAGTGAAAATTCTATTTTAATATGCTAACTGTAGATAATAATTACCAGTTCTTGAAAGCATTAAAGTATGGAACTCAAGAATTAATTATGCATATTAAAATAGTAATAATTATGCTTAATGAAATTATTATGATATGAACTGGTAATATCAAATTATTAGTGTGATGACGCACAAATCAAATTATTAGTGTGATGTCATCAATTAGTAATATTACAAACATATGTAGCTATCTATTTAACTTTATAGGTGACTTTGAAGTATTTGTTGCTTTTTTGAAATTTCATATAAATATTCATGAAATAAAATATTAATTTTATCACATATTTATTAATATTAAAACAAAAAAATAAATAAAAATATAAAGGAAAAAAAATAATTAAACCCAAAGACTAGAAAAGTTTTGAACTTTCGGATTCATATATGGTGCAGTTTCATTCTTCTTTGCCGGTGACGTAATTTCCAAGCTACTAGCGATGATTGACTTCATTTCAGGCGGGAATCTTGAACTTGCATTGATCAAAACCGGCCTTGATTTATGCAATTTCAAAGTTATATAAGTCAATCCAACAGCGTCAATTACTTCTTCCTGCAAATCTTTTGGTGTTGAAAGGCTGACGTTTTCCAAGAATCCGCAAAGCATTGATGTTGCTGCTGCAGAATCTCCTTTCAATCTCATGAAATTCGACATCATTATTTGCAAACAAACAGACAATCTCGAAGGATCTCCACTGATTATTTGTTTGAGATTATAACAGATATCTCTAAAAACTTCCAATGTCACATAAGTCATGAATATCCTCATTGCCTTTAGTATAATTGGAGAAACAGACTTATGAACAGCAGCTGTGAAGAAAGAAGTACAAATATCATGTGGCAATTCCGCGATAACTCTCATCAAACAATTGCAACATAATTCTCTTTCCGGCCAACTATGCATTACGTCAACTATCTGATTAATCAGTTCATCAACGATTGCATCGCATGTTTTGTTTGATAAAAGGATTGCGCAAACAGAGAAAGCCTTCATATGATCGAATTGGCTTTGGTATTCTCTAACAATCACTTCAGGATCTTGTTGAACTGTTTCTTCAATTTCATGAAGTTTTGTTCCAATTTGTTTTGCCATTTCAGGTCCATCGGGAACTAAATATTCTTGTGCATTTGGAATACTTCCAAGGAAATTCGTCTTGAGTTTCGCGCTCATTTCGCTTGTCAACAAATGCCAATTTCTTGTCAAAAACATCTTGAACCAATGCAAAGGCATTTTATCAGCCAAAAGAGCTGGAATCAAAGCATCTATTAAGATATTTGCAAGATATTCATGTTTGTAATACAACAATCTTGGCAACAGTTGTTGTGATAATAAAACAGCCAAATGTCTTGTTGTTATTTGCAACTGATAATCTTTTTCAAGAATATCATCATTAGATGCCAAATATCTTCTGCAATGTTGTGTCAATGAATATGCAAATTCATATCTAGCAACAAAAGAAGTGAAACTCAAGAAATACACATCAAATAATTCACTTGCATTCATGTTACTCGATTGAGAAAAGTTTTTGTAGGCTCTTAAACAACCTAAAGAAAGTTTATCGAATCTACTGCTTGATATCGATTGATTGATCGATTCTATGATGTAGATTGGTGCTTTCTTGTCATTGTTAAATGGTAAGATGGAAATTAACTTCTCTCTGAACTCATTGATCTTAGTTGCTTCTGTACATAAATTGACATCGGTCAAATTCGTTGTTGCTTCAATGTAGGCAAGCAAAACAAGGATATTTGATGATTCTTCGATCTTCTGGGCAACTTCATCACTAAGACGTGGATAATGAACATGTAATAATTTGATTAATAATACTAATGCCACTTTTTCGATACCGCTATCGTTCTGTTGTTGGTTTTGGTTGTTTACGGAACCAATTACTTGGAGAACGCTTGGAATTACGGTCTTATGGACAGATAGTGGTGCGATAATGCGGACAAAGAAGAAGATGGCCCGGATTGTCATCTCTTGGAGGTCGATATCTTTTCCTGTGAGGTCTAGGAACTTCTTGGCAATGGTTTCGGATCGGATTGGTAATATATTGGCAAGAACACACTCAATCATTGTCATAAGATTGGGTGTAAACATCTTATTCTTGCAACATTCGGAAAATGTATGGTGGAAGCCGAAAATAAAGAGAGTCATCAGCTGAGAACTCATTATGGCAACATATTTAGGCCCGTATTCGTTGTCTCTGGCGTTTTCAACGATGTATTTGATCTGATTTAACGTAACTTTGCAAGTAAGAAGCATGAATGCAATAGTTTCGTTCTTATTCTTACCAAGATCTTTGTCATTGGCTGGAGGAAGGTTAGAAAGGAAGTATCTTGCAAGAACGCTAGGAATATAAGAAATTAACGAGGAAAGTGAGTCATCTGTGGACATATCTACAATCCTGTATTGGCTCTCGATTGCTGCAATCGCATCTTGCTCGTTATCTATGTCTCCTTTTGTAAGTTGTGAAGGAATTAAAAGATTAAACAAATAATGATTAAATTGAATATGATTAACGATAGCGAGCATACAGAAAGGTGAAATAAATGGTCTGCTCTGTAAAAATTCGCATAAAATTTGTCCGTCGATATCATTCGACAAAGCGAAGCCTTGGACGTATAAAAAAATTGTGGCGAATGTAAAGAGAAGTTCTGAATGAGTTGCTTTTCTGTTCGAGTTTAATTCGGAAATTAAGTCCATAATTGCATAAGTTAGCGTTAATCTGGCATTTCTGTACTCTGTCAGTGGCTTGAATGAATCAAGTGGTGCATGATTTAATATCAAACGCTTGAAATGTTGTATACATGCGATTTGATACGCTGGATCTGCTTCAACTTCAAGTAATAGACCTGGAAACTTAAGCATCTGAGCTTTATCTCCAGTTATGTATATTTGTGGATATCGTAAAATATGGCTTTCGAGTGAAAATGGTTTAACAAAACCTCTAATTTTTCTGATACGTTCAAAAACTGGCTGAAAGAACTCACTGAGAGTCCAACTTGGTTGGTTCATACCCCAGTTTAAATCTGAAATGCCAGAAAGTAAAATAACAGGAGGAACTTTACTAATTATCAAATCTATAAGATGAAATGCAGATTGAATGCTTGTAAGTGTTGAAGGATCTGAGTTGCTTGTAATATTTGATGTCAACCAGAAACCTAAAAATGCGAATGAAGGAACAAGCTGTTCTGTTGTTGATTCATTTATAAAGTTCTGTAGTTTCTCAATGCTAGTGTCCCTAGTATTTAAAAAGCGTACTATCATGGGTAGTAAGCCATTTGTACCCGGGTTTGCTAACATTTTATAAATTCAAATACAATTGAAAGGGGATTTAAATCAGGCAAACCCAAATTTTAGCTAAAAGTGACAGGAAAAAAAAACGTTTAGTATTAAAAAAAAGACCGATGAGAGCTTCGTTCGAAATATAGAGGGAACTGAGAATGCGCAACCATTCTCAGGGAATATTGGATGCTATTCCCGTTCCCTCTGTATGGAAAATTGAGGTTTTCAAAGGAAGTTAAAATAATATCAAATTTATACTAATTTACTTCAAAATACAAAAGTATTTGACAGCTAAAATTAGTTACTTTAGCAAGCCTATCAATACCCTTTTACGATTATTGTTACTTTTTCGAAATAAAAGTAAAAACAAATTTATACTAATTTACTTCAAAATACAAAAGTATTTGACAGCTAAAATTAGTTACTTTAGCAAGCCTATCAATACCCTTTTACGATTATTGCTACTTTTTCGAAATAAAATAAATTTATTATCAAAAACCTTTTTTTTCTTAGTAAAAATAAAAATGTTATTTTATATCAAGTTTTTATTCATAAATTTTTATAATGTTGTATAAATTTGAAGGTGGAAATCTGTAATAATTTTATCTTGAAAAGACTTGGCATTCTCAACAATGAATTGAGGGTATTGCATCCAAATTCTGTAATTTGCGTGAGAATACTAAGCTTGATTTCCATTGGGATACTTAATTTCGAAAAATACTGGGTCATTCGTTTTTGAACCTTTGCTGCCTTGACAACTTTATCAAGTAGGTCATCTAAACCCAATTGAAGCGTATTTAAGTTTGCTGATGAGTTAACTATTAACGATTTAATTTTATCAGTGAGCATTATACATTTTTCTGTATCCAGTCTGATTGTAGACTTTTTTGGCTTTTTTTCAGATGGCAACGGATTTGGAATTTTGTCTCTGAGCCTTATATCTTGAGAAATTCTGTAATAAAATGAAGGAACAATAAAATCGATTAATTTCATCACAAATCGATCAAATCTCATGAAAATTGTTCCGCCAAAGTAGTAATATTTAATTTTTTTGTTAATCGATTCTGAAATGTTATTTGTGAGAGCTAAATTTTCATCTCTTTCAGCGGCTGTCCATCTTTCTTGGTTTGATATCCATTGATTTTGTATGTATTTTGAAAATTCTGGGAATTTTTCGGCTATTTCCAGAATTTTTTTGAACGTTGGTTCAATCCATTCTTTCTTGCCATTTCTGCCGTATGCAAGATAGTTCATTTTTGTATCTAATATCAATTTGTCTGAACTCTCAAATGCATAATCTTTCAAATTTTTTCTGAACGCCCTCATTACATGAACTGCACACCAATGAAGGATAACTTCTGGAAAAGAGTTGATAATCGCATTTTCGATTTCTTGTGCACAATCTGACATAAAATATTTTGGTTTTACTTTTGCCCAGTTAAAAAATGCCTTGAGACAGAATGCAATATTTTCTGAAGTGTTTGGATAAACGACAAATTGAAAAATTGGGAATGCATGTGTATTTGGAAATTTGGCTGATATCATGTAAAACAACATTTTAAATTCAAGTAATGAATGGGTTGCATCAATAAAATGCTCTTTCACAATTTTGATTATGTCCAGAAATTTGAAAGAAGCATAATAAAAGATTAATTTCTTTGGTTTGTTGTAATTATCGACATCGAAATAAATTAAATCTTTTGGTGACTCTTGTTCTTTGATACCCTTAAATAATTGAGTTGACTTGAATTGATTATCATCGTACTTTTGAATACCTTTGATCTTTTTATTTCCTTTTTCCTGAATTGTTTTCATTTGATCTGAAGATGCATTCAAAAAAGATGGCCTGTTAAGTGGATCATCCAGATCAAGTTTTTTGTCGCATTCAATTTGAGCCATTTTCGGATCACCCCCTGTTTTATAAAATTAATAAGTACCCGACGATAGCATTGTGATAATGTGTGGTATTTCTTTGTTCATCTTTGATTTGATTGTGATTATGTGTTCCATATATTCTGTTAGGATATATTCTTCATCATCCTTTAGAAATGAGATACATGCTTCACATTTATCTGCACTGCACCTGAATTTTAATTTTGTTCCCCCTAAATTTGGATTTTTTTTTAATTGATATGGACAACCTGCATGGCATTCGTTATCAATGACAGCTTTCATAGCATCTATATAAGATAGCCTTTCTTTAAGTTCGCATGGTGCATCGATATGCATCAAAAAAATGAAATGAAATTTCAATATCAAAAAAAGCACAAAATTTGAAAAAATTCACAAATCTCGGTTTCTGAAAGAAAATGGCCTCTTAAACTTTGTGCATATATTCATCTATAAGACACATTGTATCCATATATTATTTAGCCAACACAACTTATCTGGTATCGAGAAAATTCAAAAAAAGCACAAAATTTGAAAATTGCTCGGTTCTACATTCAAAATAAATTTCATTAATTTTTACGTACATATTAAGGTACTTATCTTCTACATATATAATCTTCATTAGATATATACATGATAAATAAAATTCATAAAACATTAAAAATCAAAAAATTAGATGAACCTTGGCAATTAAACTTTATTAAATAATAGTTGTTTATAAATTATATTATATTATATTATCATTTAATATAAGGGTTTCGTTTTGCTAAAATTGTCACTTTTATAGCATATTTGTTTTTGGATGTTTTGCGAAACCAAAAAAAACTATGATATACAATGTGTGTGTAAAGAAAATACTTTATTTACTAGTTAAAAAATCATTTGGTATTGATCAAGTTATTTTTTCTGGATAAGATATTATATGGATAATTGGATAGAAAATACAATTATATAATCTTGTACCTGGTTTAATTAAGCTAATTGTCATCAGAAACTTGTAATTTTTATGAATTTCAGATTTTCTTTTCATTACTGCTTTTCTTAATAGGTCAAGTTCTTATTTACGTTATAAAGTATGATATTTACAAATATCAAGTTATCATGTTTTTTGAGAAATTATGAGAAACAAACAAAAATGAAAAAGATAGGAATAGCAATGAATAGTGATGTGGGTATAGAAAATGTAAGAGATATGAATGCAAAGCAATCAGTATTTAGGATATTGACCATAGATTTCGAAAAAAAATGCTGCATATTGAGCGAAAACTATGATTATATTATAAGGCTGTCATTTAAAGCATAATGAAACTATTCCCTTTTCATTTTAATCGAATAAGATAGTAAAGATTTTTGAATATAGCTTAGAAACTGATGAGATGTTTTCACAAATCAGATTTTTTAATCTCTATAATGCTAATTCACTCAATATCTCATTTTGATATTGCGAGATATTTTTGCTATCGGTTTCGCAATTTTGACACAATAGCAAGAGGGTTCTATAAGCATTATTAAACGTAGAATCTGAATATCATATCAGAAAATGTCGCAAATCTGACATTTACCCGACAAATAGCAAAAATAATTGAATACTTTTCGCAAAAACTTTAAAAATCGATAAAAATATGAAATATAGATATTAAAGAGACTTTTTATATAATATTCATAAGATTTTCCAAAAATATGATACCGCAAAATTAAAAAAGTGACGTCTTGAGTGGAGTCAAAGGTCGAAATTGCTAGCTAAATGTTTTTTTAGCGAAATTGAAAAAAAAAAAAAAAAAGGTAGTGGGGCTTCCAGGGGCTGCGCCCCTTCTAGCCCTGAAGATGTTTAGTATAACTTTGTCCGGACAAGTAAGGGTCTATCGTCGCTACAGGAAAAGTTACGGGCGTTCCAAGGAAGTATACTTTGAGAAGCCTTTTTCCCCTTATAGAATGAGATAGGACGGTTATTTTACAAAACTGACAACACTTTGACCGAGTAGTTTTTTGAGCTGAACAAAAAGTGTCATATAAACATCTGTCAAAAACGTTTTTAACTTCACTTAAAATGCCACGTAAGCTACGTAAGAATATACGTAAGAGGAAGGGAGCATTGAAACATCCAATAGTAAAACTGACACCACAACAACAGTTGCAACAACAAATGCTGAATGACCCCACTATGTTGCAACAAATGTCAAGCAACCCTATGCTTTTAAACCGAGTTTTTGGTGCACAGAGTGGAGGTTTAAGAGCGGCACTTTTAGCGAAAATGGCAGGCTATGGTGGAGCTGCAGACGGAACAGCCTATAACCCTCAAAGTCAAATGAATTTGAGTTCACTCAAAAATCAAATATCAGATGTCAAAAGTCAAACATAGACATACAGAAGCAAATAAGTGAAAACGAAAAGAAACTAGAATATGACAGACACACAAAGAAACTCAATGAGTTAAACGTAGAGAAAAGAAGAAAGAAGAACAACTGAAAGAACTAAGTACAGAGGAATATGCGAAAAAAGTGTCAGAAAAAGCAGCAGAAGTAGCAAAAATGGAACAGGATGTCATAAATTTGAAAAAACCATACTACTCAATATAAAGTACTGAAAGATGAAGAGATAAAACAAAAAGCCCTGAAGACATATATGGATAGCGATGAGTATAAAAAAGAAGTTGAAGCAAATGTAAAGGCAGAAAAACTTTTACAGTTGCAAAACCAAACCGTACAGTATGAAAACTTAGCAAAGAAAGTAAAAATAACGACGCAGCCATGCAAAAGGCAATGAAAAGCGCAGAATATATAAAAGCTAACAATGACTGGTTAGATGCCCAAGCCAACGCTAAAGCAGCCCAGCTTATAGGGTCAATAAGGACAAAAATACAAGCGGATGAAGACAGTTCAAATGAAGCTTTAACAAATGCTGACTTTAAGAACGCCTTCGAAGCTCTTCATAGTAAGGTGAAACAAGTGAACGACTTCTCATCTGGAAAGAAACTGAAGTCTGAAGGTTTCGACAAAGAGTTAAAGAGAAGTAGCACAAAATTAACGAAAATAACAGATGCACAACGAGACAGGCAGTTCAAAGTGCCTATGACGCCGTTAGAGCAACTGTTGTGGAAAGTCAAGAAAAAGAGTTACAACAGACCAAAA